CTCTCCTTATTCTCCTGGTCCTTTGCCCTTTTATATTTCTTCCATTCCCTAGCACACTTGGGTTTTTTCCTCCTTTCATCTTTGGGTGAACCATGGGTCATCCTGGCTTTTCATTATTCCTGTTTCCCTTGGGTAAAAACCTTCCTCACCTCCTTCAAAATTGTTGCTACATATTCCCTATCTCTAACTGGCTTCCCTGCCTTCTTTTGTCCCATGAACCTCATTCAGGAAGTTTTCCCCTTTCCCGTGTGTCCCCTTTCCGTAGTTTTGGTTTCATTTGTATTGCCTTCCTGCTTCCCCCCCCATTGTAGCCTCGTGATTCGAACTCAAAACCCCATGATCGCTGGCCCCAAGGGGTCTTTCATATTGATGGGCCTATATCTATTTAAGGTAAAAATAATATTTTTTACCTTTTTTTTATTTTTATTTTAAAAAAATTTTATAATATTTTTTTTTTGGGATTGAATTTTTATTTTTTTAAATAATATAATTTGTAATAGTTTAAAAGAGTGGTGTAAATTTATTTTTTAAAATTTGTTGGTTTTTTTTTTTTAATTCATAAAAATTATTTCCCGGCCACCCAATAACCCCCAAAAACCTTTTTTCCCCGCTTTTCCCCTCCCCAGCTCACAAAAATTTCCCCGGGGTTTTCCCGAAGCCCAAACCCCCCCCCCCGCCCGCCCAACGGTTTCCCCGGAAAAACTTTACAACCGAACGGCTGGACCAACACCCAAAACCCCCACCCCCCCACGGGACCACAAAATTTTTTAAACCTTTATTTCCTTTTTAAAAAGTTGGTTTGGGGGCCTTTGGGGGAAACCGGCTTACGTGGGTTTTTGTTGGGGGGGGTAAAAAAGGGGGGGGTTTTTTGGGGAGGGTGGGGGTGGGTTCAAAAAAGGGGGTGCCCCTTCGCTCTGTTCCCCTCGACTGCCTCCGGGTTTTCCATCCTTGTCTCCTTTTCCTAGCTCCTTTCGCTTTTTTTTTTTCCTTTCCCAAGCTGCTTTCTTTTTGTTTGTTTTCCCTTTTCCTCTGCCCCTGGGACCCCCTTCTTGTCCCTTTTTCCGAACTTTTAAACCCGGGGGGGTTTTTCTTTTTGGAGGACCCTGTTCCGCACTGTTTTCTTTTTTAGAATCAGCTTAAATCGGGTGGGTTTTCCTCCCCTTAAAGTCCCCCCGTTTTCCCCTTAAAAAATTTACAATCTCATCCATGTCTTTTTCCCCCAAAAATTTTCTGTGTTTTTTTTTCTAAAATTCCTTTTTCTTTCTTCCTGCCGCCCTTTCAGTTTTGTGTTTTTTCCCTCTCTCCCCCAAAAACCCCAAGGGTTTAATTTCACTGATTTTCCCCTTTCCCCCCCTTTCCCATTCCCTCTTCCTCTGTGCTCGGGTTTCCTTTGTCTGTATGGGCTTTTTTCCCCCTTTGTTTTTTCCAGTGCTCTTGGGTTTTAGAAAGGTTTTGTGCCACCAATTTCGACCTATCTCCCTCCCCCATTTTGCCCCCATCTGCTTTTTCCCCCTTCCACCCCATGGCCTTCTTTGCACTGATATGACCTTAGCATAATTAAATATCTTTCCCTTTCCCTGTTCAGCCTCCATAAACTTTTTGGTGTGTCTTCTCTGGTCACTCCCCCCTGAATTTGGGCTTCAGCCGGGTTTTACCCCCAAATTCTAGGCCCTTTTTCCCTGGCAAATGAATTTTTTCGACTTGGACCCCCAAATTCTTCTTTCTCCTTCCCCAACCTTTTTTCCCATTTAAACAGAGAGCCTTTCTCCTTTTTTTTCAGAAAGCTCTCCTAATTTTCTCTCCCTTTCTTGCTCTATCCTTTTCCACTTTTCGTCCATCCATTCCCTTTTCCCCACCAAATTTCCCATTGTCCCCTCTGATCCCCGATTCCTGCGAGTTTTTCCCAAACCCTTTTTTTTTTTTAAAAAGAAAAAGAAAAAGAAAAAAAAAAAGGGGGAGGGAGTGAGAGGGTAGGGGGAGAGAGAGAAGGGGGGCCCAGAAGGAGGGGGGAAAAAAAGGGGGGAAAAAGGGGGAGAAAGTGAGAGAGGGGAAAAGGGAAGAGAGAGGGGGGAGGAAAAAGGGGAAAGAGAGAGAGAAGAGGGGGAAAAAGAGAAGTAAGAGAGGGAGAGAAAAGGGAGGGGAGAGAGAAAGAGTGAAAGGAAAAAAGAGGAAGAGAGAGGGAGAGAAGGGGGATGAGAGAGAGGATGAGAGAGGGGGATGAAGAGAAAGGGGGAGAAAGAGGAGAGAGAGAGAGAGAGGGGAAAAGAGAGAGAGAGAGAGGAGAGAAAAAGAAGAGGAGAGAGAGAGAGGGAAGAGAGAGGAAGGGGGGAGAGGGGTAGGAGGGGGGGAGGGAGGGGGAGAGGGGGGGGAAAGGAAGGGGTTTTTTGGGTAACTTCACAGGAAGGTGTAAAAAACCTGTATATGTGGGGGAAATGTTTTCTATATGTGTGTGTGTGTGTGTGCCGTATGTGTGTTTTGTGTTTGTGTGTGTGTGTTTAAG